TCCTGTGGAGTTTTCTTTGAAAAAGGAGGTAATTGCAGTGGTCAATGGCATGCTGGTGATGGAGCCAGTGGGTGATGAGGAGCATGCTCATACCTCAGACTCGTATTTCTAGGGGCAGTTTGGCAGCCTGCCTAGTGCTCCTGCCAGCCCCACTCTGCCCAGAGAAGCAGCCTCCTTCCCTGCCTGCATTGTCCCTTCTACCCCCACTGTGCCTCTCTTTCATGATCTTCAAACTTCAGCTCCTGCCCAGAGCTAACAGTGAGGATCTATAGCAGGTGTAAGGCACACCAAATTGTCCTGGCCTCCCCAGGGACCAGGTGTACGTGCAACTGGGAGGAGGGGGCCCACTCTGTTTCAGTGCCTAGACCCCAGCCTGCTGGCGCTTGGCCCACACCTCAGCAGGGAGGCTGTCAGTAACCATGGCAATTGGAGTCTTCCAGCCGCCCCAGTGTCAAATATACAGTAGGAAGAAAAGCAGTCCCGCTATGTGATCACTCTGCTGAGGAGTGTTGGAAGAGGGGCAGTGTACCTTTGGGGCAGAGTCCTGCCCTTCTCTCCAAAGGGTGCCAACATCCTCTCTTTCTCCTTCTCAGTCAGGTGCTGGAGGTTCGGAGGTCTGTCTGCCCTCCTGTGGGATGGAAGCACACCTGGGGTGCAGGCACCAGGCACGTGTGCAGGCTGGGGAAAGCAGCCCCAGCTAAGCAGGGCTGGGGTGACAGCAGTTGAGCATGTTAATGATTACCTGGCACACACCTCAACAAGGAAAAGGTTGTTCCTCTCCCATGCATGGCTGTGTCCCTGCACTGACACTGCAGCAACATCCACTACCAGTTCCCCAAGGACCAGGCTTTGACCAGAGATGGAAAATGCAGACCTGACATGCCATGAATTAGATTGTGACACTTTAAGAGGTAAAAAGCTCAAGTTAATTGCAGGGAAATGCACCTGGGTTGGTCACACTCCCTCTTTTTTCCTTCTTTCCTCAATATGAGTCCTCTTTCTGCAGTCACGGCCTTTTGCTGCTAATTTGAGTTGGGGAAGGAGCCATTTCCCCCATGTCCCTCAGAAAGAGCCCAAAGGGACCAAGCATCAATGTGATGTGCATCAACGCATCTCTGCTCTCTCACACAGCTAGCACTTGTCTCCTGGTCCCCTGGAACGAATGAAAATTCACACAGGGCTTCACTGTACCTTATGCTGCTGTGCCCTGGGGACTCCAGCGGGATCTTCAGCTCCTGGCCAGAAACAGCTGGAGAAGCAGCAGTGCTTGCTCCACACCTAGTTCTTCAACAGCTCTATAGGCCCTGGTTTGCTCATCACAGTATCGTGATTCAGACGTGCAAACCTGATGTACACCTAGGTCCTTCTTTTTTACATTGAAGTTTGTCTCAGCAGCTTTCTTCAGCTTGAGTTTAAAGGCCCAACAATGGGGGGAGGTTACTGGCTTTGATACCTGCCCAGCTATCAGGATGCATTTCTGCATCTTGGGCTCAAACATACAGCCTGGCATCTCCAGATCTCTCACCATACAGGACAGTACCTGTTGCTCTGTGTGCAGCAGGAAGGGGAGATGACATGTTCCCACATTTACCAGTTCTCAAAACCTCTGCAGATGTTTAGGAAACTACTGGCAGACTGGCAATTAAATGTGGCAATCTCTTGAAAAGTGATTCCCGGTTTCAAAGCAGCTCATAAAAAACAGCCCTGCCCTGCAACCCCACCTGTGGCAGCCCTGCTCTCAGCAAACTTCTTCCAGAATAAGAGGCAGAGAAATGGCTCCATTCCCTACCAGAGCCCCATTTTTCTTGCATGACACTCTCTTTTCTGGCTGCTAGCTCCAAAAAGGAATTGGCTTTGCTGCTGCCTTGCTCACTTCCCAAGAAAAGATGGTAGATGGGGGAAAGGAGCAGTCACATCTGCAAGGTCATTTTCATCCCCCACCAGCAGCTGGATACCACTGCTCAGTCCAAGGAAAAGGGCTGCAGCATGGCTGAGCTGGGGACGGGCAGGCGGGTCACAAGGGATGGAACTGGGGCGACACTTGGGACAGCAGGTAAGTGATGTGCTGCTCTGGGTGCTGAGCAAGTACCCCTTTCCTGGCAACTTCTCATGAGGGGCAGAGCAAGCAGAGAAGGGTGAAAAGGGCAGAGATCATGAAAGGTCTGTCCATTGATGCCAGTGGCCTTGATGGAGGAGACATCCACGGAGCTGGTGGAGACACAGGGTGGTTCCCTTTACTCCACCGAGGCCCGGGGGTGCCCTCGGGGCCAGCTTCCATGGGAACTCAGAGCAGCAGCCCCCAGGGAGACGCTGCCCGGCTGTTCAGCTGTGCACCCTTGGGCCACTCTGATGTTGGGTGCATGGTCAGCTGAACCCGCACAGCTTCCCCGGTACCGCACCGCGGGTACGGGTTGGAGAGCACAGCAGGAAGATGAGAGGGGACAAGGGACAGGGGCCGTGCCCCGCGGGACCTGACGCTCCCCGTCCCAGCTCGCCGCCGCTGGCCCGCGCTGCCCCCGCCCCACCGGCCGAGGGGCCAGCCTGCCCCCGGGCCGCCCCTCCGCCGCCCTGCCTTTGTGCCTGCCGGGGGGCAGAGGAGGAGCTTGCGAAAAGTTTTGGGCTAAAAACCCACCTTTTTGCTGCCAGCCGAGCCCGACGTCAGGGGCCGCTGTGCGCCGCGCGGGGCTCCACACGCGGCCGCCACACAAAGGCAGCAGCTCCGCTCCGCTCCGCTCCGCTCCGCAGGTGAGTGCGGCCCCCGCCCGCAGTTCTGCGGTCGGGCCCCCTCCGAGATGGGCGCCCCGGGCGAGGCGAGCGGCGACCGCCCGTCACCTCCCCAGGGAGGCGGCAGTCATCCAGGCTGAGGGCTCCCCAGAGCGGGAAGGGGCTTTGCCGGGGTGGGGGACAGGCTCTGTCTGGGGAGAACCTGCAGAAAAGGGCGACTGGGGCCGAAGGACCGGGGGCGATGCACAAGCCCCCCCCCCCCCCCCCCCCCCCCAAAAAAAACAACCAAACCACCAAAAAAAGGTGCTGGATCGCCTGAGAGGAGCCAGGGAAGAGCCTGGAGATGCAGAAGGATGGAGTTTGGTAGAGAGTCAGGGCTCCTGAAGAACAGACGGCTTGAGGTCGTGGCCCGGTATCCTACCCCCCATTCCTCTGGGGAAGCACCCCACACTGGTTCGGGGAGAACTCAGCCGGTGGAGATCCTCCGATCGGAGCCCGGGGAGCTGCCCCGGAGTGGGGCTCGACCACCGCCCGCCTCTCCGGAGGGCGAGGGAAAGAGGCTCCAGGGGGCTCAGGGCACAGCATCTACCCTGAGGAGGGAGCAGAGGGCAGAGGTGCGGAAGGGCGCTCCGGGCTGCAGTCTCTGCCCTCAGTGCAGGGGCAGAACCCTTTTCCCTTGGAGCACCTTCTCGTCCCTGCCAGGGGAAGGTGAGGCCGCCTGCTGGAGCGCCCCACAGCCCCCCTGCTTCCCTCAGCACCTCTAGGAAAGCCTCCCGTGCCAGCGCCTTGGCTCACGGGCACATGCTCGGTGTCCTCTTTCCAGGCAGCAGGAAACTTCCTGCTGTCGCGGTGCTTGTGGCTCCAGGCCACGGGCTCCCCGTGTGCTGGGCTGGCTCCTCGAGTGCCGGGCTGCCTGCCCGGAGGCTGGGAAGCAGCTCAGCCCGCAGAGGGAGGACAGCAGTCCTGCGCCCAGCACTGCCGGAGCAGCTGCAACCTGAGCCGAGCAAAGCCCAGCCGAGAGGTCCCGCTGCTGGAAAAGGGGCTGTGAGGGGGGTGCCAGCCCGGCCGCTGCTCCGTTCCCGGGAGCGCATGGGGTCAGCACTGAGGGATCAGGAGCTGCGGAGGATGTCTGGGCCGCATTAGGAGAAGTCGGTGGCACTACCTGCCCCGGAATGGTGTCCGGAGAGAGGTCCAAGCCTTCCCCTTGCAATAATTGGTATCTGAGCTCCGCTTCAGCTTCACCAGGTGATTTTTCTTTTTAGAGCTTCAGCTTCACCAGGTGATTTTATTTTTCTTTTTAGAGCTAATCCTTGATCATAAAACCCAAGAACAGCTAGAGGAGGGGGAAGGGAGAACAGGGACTGATGTTATGCGAGAGCCAACCAGCATCTGAGGAGGAGAGAAGCCAGGGCCCCGCAGGGATGCAGGCGGAGTAGGGCTGTGCAGGCAGGCCTGAAGGTGCTGCCAGCCCTGCCAGGAAAAACTCTTGTTTGCCTGGCTGTTTGGAAAACCAGTTGGGAAACTCCACTGCCTTTTCCTTTTGAAAGCTTTAGGATGAGCCATGGCTGAAGGCTCCTGTAGACCTTTGCCTGGGGAATACTATATGTTGGGTACAAATTCAGGGGTCCCTGGGGCTGTAGCTGGTCATCCCCTCAGAGGGTATCCTTCTAGCAACCCTGTGTATGTGTGGGCAGGGCCCACTGCACCCATGGCAAACAGAGGGAGTCTGTGCCTGGAGGTGAGGCAGGGGTGAGCACAGCAGCTGGGGCTGTCTGCCCTGGGGGCTTAAAGTCCTTGTCAGAAGGGCCTGAGCAGAAGGTGCTGGGCTGGGAGGTAGGTGCAAGGAGCACAGGATGCTCTGCAGCAAAGGATGGGAGAAGTTAACAGAACACCTGAAACCAGGGGGATTGTGTGAATAATGTGGATGTCAGAGGTTGCTATCCCATAAGAGCTGCTGCAGAAAGTGGGACAGCCCTGTCTGTAAGTCAGCTCAGCTCCAGCCTTGTCATCTGTAACCAGTCCATCTTGGCTGAGCCGTTGTTCCCTTTGAAGGCAGATGGATGGGAGCAGAGCTGAGCCGTGCTGTGCTCGGCAGGATGGCTCCCAGCCGGGCTGGGTGAGGGGGAAGGCAGATATCAGCCCACGACTGTGCCCTCAGCCAGCCGGTCTGTGTAATTCCCTGTGACAGTTCAATGCAGAGCAAAGCTGGCAGCTTGGCGGCGGATGCATGAAAGGTGAGTGCACTGGAGCCTGAATAATGTGGGATGCTGCTCTCTCTGGCATGCTGCCCAGGAGCCATGGGGAGGGAGCGAAAACTGACCCCAGGCTCTTCCCTTCATTGATGTCCATTGGGGCCTGTAGTTCATGCTGTCCTCTACAGCCCAATTCTGCAAAGCCCATCACAGAGCCAGGGCAGGTGCCATGTATTTTCTGGAAGGCTGCTGCCACACAGATATGGGTGGCATCTTAAAAGGCTTTGGGGAACAGGGATGGGGTCTCCAGATTTCAAATGCTGGCTCTGCATGCCTGCACTCCTCTTCCCACTGAGAGCAGGATCTGGGACCCCAGTGTTGGCAGCAGCATCGCACAGAGTCTCGTGGTGGCAGCCAGAGAGGAGCCGTCATATGGTCCAAGGCCACCGGGGCAGGGGGACAAGGCTCAATCCCCAGAGATGAACCCTTATGTGTGTGCACCCTTGTCCCCAACGTGCTCCCAGGTGTGTGCACACCTGCACACTCCTGCATGCATGGGTGGCGTGGGCAGCAGGCTCCATCCCTCCAATGAGCTCCCACATTGTGGATGCTTTTTTTGGTGTTTAATCCACTGATATAAACTTTCAGACCTCTCATGAAAGCAGGTTTGTTTTGCTGGGCTTTTTTCCTTCTCCCTGGCATCCTCTGGAACAGGAGTAAGGTACTCTGGGAGCTGTGTTCCCTGGCCCCAAGGCTCTTTGGTATGGGGCAGCAGCCTGCTGGGTCATGGATAAAGGATCCACAGAGGAATATGGGGGTAAGGGCTGGCAACTGTAGGACCTTCCCCAGATGCTGTGTGGGCTGTGGGGTTCCCCATGGAGAGCATTTTGACTACACACAGGGCAATGGGGGGACTGCAGGGGTGGGAACAATCTCTCAGCCCTGCAGCTCCCTGGTGGGAGGCAGTTGTTGAGATACACAATTAACCTTCCTTTTGCAATTAGTGAACATGTTCTGCTGGGCAGCAACGAGCAGGGCACGGGGGTGTATGTACACACACATGCAGGTGAGAGTGTGCAATGGAGGCAGCTACTCCTGTCTTACTCCCACACAGGCTGCCCACAGCCCACCATGCCCCTCCTCAACAGCACATTGCACCCCAACCTCCAACCCACGTAGCTCTCTCCTTCCTCCTCAGGCAGGATGCAGGTCCGGAGTCTCTTCCTCCTCCTGGTGCTGATCCTGGTGGCTGCCACCGCCGAGGCTGGCAAGAACAAGAAAGGTGAGGGGCAGCCTGGGGCAGGGCACCAGTGGGGCAGGGGGCAGAGTGGGGCATGCTCCCCTGTCCCTGCAGAGAGCACCCACTCCACTTTTCCGCACAGAAAAGGCAAAGAAGGATGGCTCCAAGTGTGAGGACTGGCGCTGGGGACCCTGTGTTCCCAACAGTAAGGACTGCGGCCTGGGCTACCGCGAGGGAACTTGCAAAGATGAGAGTAAGAAGCTCAAGTGCAAGATCCCCTGCAACTGGAAGAAGAAATTTGGAGGTGGGTACATGGAGGTGGGGTGGTTGGGGACCACCCTGTGCTGGGTGACCAGGGCTAATGTCCCGCCAGGTCCTGGCTGGTTCTGATGCCTCTCCCCTCTCATCCAGCCGACTGCAAGTACAAGTTTGAGAGCTGGGGAGGCTGTAGTGCTCAGACAGGCCTGAAGACTCGCTCTGGCATCCTGAAGAAAGCCCTGTACAATGCCCAGTGTGAGGAGACTGTCTATGTGACCAAGCCCTGCTCCTCCAAGATCAAGTCGAAGTCCAAAGGTGAGTTCCCACCACTCGTGTCCCCAGAAGGGTCCTGTTGCAACCCTGGCCAGGGGTTTTTCAGAGCTACCTTGGCCTTGGGCTTGGCTTTGCTGGTGGTGTAGGGGATTTCATAGGATGCTCTTTTCTTTGCACTGCGATGTCCAGCTGCTGGCTGGGTAGGATGCAGGTGCTACTAGGAAAACCCTGGTCCCCCACCAACCACTGCCATCTTTGCTGGGATGGGGATTCCCTGCTCTCCTCACTAGGACTGGTGCAAAACGTGGTTTGGCATGGCAGAAGGCTGCCTGCAGGGATGCAGCCTCTGCACCGTGCTCAGCCAGCCATGCTGGCTATGTTTCTACCACAGCAGTGTCTGGGGCACCATGAGCTGCCAGCACATGCACTAACTTGTCTCCTGTGCTTCTTGAATGCAGCAAAGAAGGGCAAGGGGAAGGACTAGAGCAGGAAACCAGCGTCCTCATCGGCCCCTCAACACGGTGCCTACAGGACTGGATGTCCAGCTGCAGCTGGCCCACACTACAGTCTTCCTCCTCCTCTCCTTACTCCTTTCCATGACCTCCTCTTTCACTGAGATGCCTTGTTTTAATCATTAGTGTTGTAGAGAGCAAACCCACCCACGCTGCAGGACAGGCTGCCTCCTTCCTTGCTGCCCCTTGGGCACTACCAGTGCATTCTGCTCACCTCCTCTGGGCTGGTGTTGGGGTTCACTGCGATGTGCTCTGAGAGCTGGGATGGAACACATATTTTTCCACCTTCCAGCACAAATGAGTTGCCTTTAGCACATACTTTTGCAAGCCCAGGAGCCTCTTTGCTCCTCCACCAGGTACCAGTGCCAGAGGGAAGGGCTGGCTGTTGAATGCCTGAGTAACCCCATCGCTGAAGCTTCTCACTCAAGGACTGCTCTCACCTCAGGGGGTTTATTCCAGCATCCCTTTGGCTGGAACATGACTTACCTGCAGCAGTTGAGGAAAACACAACCATCACCCTGAGAAGCAACTGTGTCTCCTCTCTGTCACTTCTAACCATGTGTGTCCATGCTGGGGCTGCAGCCCCTCTGCCTTTGCCATGCCAACACCAGTGCTGGGTGGGAGCTCTCCTTTTGGAATTTTTCTTTTTCTTTTCCAATAAAAATCTTTTTTTAAAAAGTATCAGAGCTCCCCTGTTGTCCCCACAAGGTGCTGCTGTGCTGGAACCCCAGCAAACCCCAGTTTTGCTGACACCATGGCACCAGCAGTGAAGTTACCATGCAGCTGGCAGTGTTGGCCTGGGTGCCACATGCACATGGTCCTGGACAAAGCACCAGACCTCACAGCCTCTTTGCAACAACGCTTCAGGTTGCACCCCCTTGCTCTTGGCAGAAGGGATGGGCTGCAGGAAATGTCACCAATGGGTGACACTGGGAAGCAGGGAAGGAGCCAGCCAGGTGATGACTCATTCATTCCTCACTCCATGGACATTAGTTTCCTGGTCCAAGGTCTTTATTTGTCTTGGGGTGTGTTGGGCTGCAGCTGTAACCATTTAAAAATACCCAGAAACCCACCAGGCATTTTGAGTACCCCTAAAGGCAGTGATGGAGAGGCTCCCATCTGGGTTGGGGCAGCCTTTCTGCCGGTTGCACCCTGGCATCAGGACAGGAAGGACATACGGACACAGAGTTTTCCAGTGCTAGAGTGGCCCCATCCCATCCCTTGCCTGCACCTGGCTGCATCCACCAAGGCTTGCACCTGGCTCTGGGAGAAGCTGGGGAGCAGCCCCAGGGCTGGGCTGCACACAGGGGTGGGCTGGGAGGAGGCTGGGGGTGCTGGCTGAAGCCTGCATGCTGAGGGCTCTGCCACAGCACCCATGACAGCGTTACATCCATTCACAAAGCTCAGCAGCCGGCTCCTTCGGCCTCCATGGAGGAGCCCCCTGCGCTCAGGGCAGGAGCGGGGCTGGAGGCCACCATCATCCTCTCCTGACTCCAGAGCCATGCATCAGGCCTCCCACACCCACTGTGGGGAGAGCAGGGACCTGCTTATGGCCCAGATGAGACACGGGGCACCTTGGCCACACTGCAGACCCTCTTCCCACCCTTTTCTGAGACCCCCAGGTCCTCCCTGTCCCTCCCAAGGACAGTTATTTTCACAGTCACTGCTGCCCACCACTCAGGGGCCCCATTCCCCCAGGGCTGTGGAGTGAAGTCCTGCACCACACCAGGGCTTTTCTTTGCAGTTTTAGTTGCCATCGTTGTCAGAGGCAACTGGGTTTCACACTCCTCACCCAGCAGTGAAATGCTTGGTTAATCTGTCTGTCTTTCCAGCAAATTGCTGTCTGAGGGCACAAACAACGTGAAGGGGAGAGCAGAGCCAGAGCACAGGGAAATATTCTGCCCCAGGACCCTGGGTGAGGATGTCTGTTGGCACTCTCAAGGGAAAGGAAGCATCTTGCCATATCTGTTAAGGTCCAATCTTGACTGCCTTCACGGGGGCCTGGCTGGGCCAGCAGGACCCATTAACCTGCCTGAGCCAGCCTGGTCCAAGATGCTAGTAAATGTTTGACCCTGGTTTCTTTTCATTTCTTGGGTAATAAACGCTTTATAAGCCAATGGAAAGCATCCAGCATTAGCCCGTCTGCATGCAGACAAGCTCTGATGCCTTGGAGATGGTCAGCTGGGGAAAAAGGTACATCCAGTCTTAGGAGAGACACTGATGCCATTTGGCCAATCTCAAGAGCATGGAGCTAGGAAGGGCTCCTGGTGACCACATCTCCTCTTGCCTCTGGCTTTCCCAGTGACTCCCTGATCTAGTCCCCAGGCCCAGGGCAACTGGAAGGACCTGCAGCTCAGAAATGCCTTGGATTTTTGTCAGCGTTGGATGAAGGGCATCCTCTGCAATCACTGCACAGTCTGCACTGTAGTGAGTGGGGAGCAGAAGAACCCCCGCTGGCAAAGGAGGCAAAAGGAAGGGTTTCCATAAGGATACTGAAGTGGTCCCTGAGTACCAGTTTATCTGGCTGTGCCAATGTTCCTGTACTGGCACATGAGAAGGTGCTTGAAGGTTTTCTTGAAAGTGGCATTGCAGAGGGCATAGCAGGCTGGGTTGATGGTGCTGTTGACATAGCAGAGCCAGTAGCCAATGGACCACACTGTTTCGGGCACGCAGGTCTCACAGAAGGTGTTAATGAGGACCATCACGTTGTAGGGGGTCCATGTGAGTATGAAGGCCAGCAGGATGGCAAATATGGTTCGGGTGACTTTCTTCTCTCGGGCAGCCATCTGGCGCTTCTTCCGTACTTGGCTCCTGGCGATGCTGGCAAACTTCCTGGCAACATTGACTGGGCGGCTGTTGGCCAGGGAGTTGTGGTTAGAGGCACCTGACTTGGCTGGGACAATCTCAATGGCGGTGACGCATTCAGTCCCAGTCTGCTTGGTGACAATCTTAATCTTGGACCACTTGGAAGTTGGGTTCACTCGGGGGTTGGCTGGACTTTGTCCTTGCCCTGCTGGCAAGACTTCTGCTGTGGGCTTGTCTTTTGTGGTCTGGGTCATGCTGACAGTGCTGGACTCATTGGATGTCTCCTTCTCCTCCTGATGGCCAGTGGCCTCTGTCTGGGCGGATGGCTGGTCATCCACTTTCCCATTCCTCACCTCCTCCTTCACCTCCACAGCCCTCTTGGGAGAATTATTGTTGTTCTGTTTGACCACAGGGCCCTTGAGGAATCTGAGGGACTTGGCTTTCCTCTCTTTCCTGCTCTCAGGCTTGTGCCTCCTTACCCTGCTTCTGCTGGCCAGGGAGATGTGGATGTACAGCACCGTCATGATGACCACGGGCAGGTAAAAAGCAGCAATGGCTGTGCCAAATGTCACCGCTGGGTTGGAGAGGAACTGGATGTAACATTCCCTCTCAGGGACTGTCCTCTTGCCCACAATGAACTGCCAGAACAAGATGGCAGGGGCCCAGAGAATGAAGGACAATATCCATGCAGCCGCAATCATTAGCCCTGCCATCTTGGTGGTCCTCCTGGCCGGGTACGTCAGGGGCTTGGTGACACAGAAGTACCGGTCAAAGCTGATGATGAGCAGGTTCATGACAGAGGCATTGCTCACCACATAGTCCAGAGCCAGCCACAGGTCGCACACCACGGCCCCCAGTGGCCAGTAGCCTTTGATGATGTAGACCGTGTAGAGGTTCATGGAGAAGACCCCGATGATGAGGTCTGCGCAGGCCAGGCTGAAGAGGAAATAGTTGTTGACAGTCTGGAGCTGGCGGTTCACCTTGATGGAGAGCATCACCAGGATGTTCCCCACCACGGTGACGAGGCTGAGTGAGCCGGTGACAGTGGCAATGAAAACCAGCTCCACTGTCTTGTAGTTGGTGGGAGGCTGCACAGCCACCTCAGAGCGGTTGCCCAGGGTGAAGTTGTCATAGGTCAGGTTGGCCATCTTTGCCTGCCACGGCTGAGCAGAGAGGTTGTGCATGGGATCTGCAAGGAGAGCAAGGACAGAAAGGGAGAATATCAGACCTGCCAGCCTGTCCTGGCAGCATTTCCTCAGTTTCCCAGGCCAGCACTGCTGTTGGTTAGTGCTCAAAAATCTCCCGGCATTCCTGGACTTCTCTTTGTCACTCCAGGAGTCCGTTGGAGGCATTTTTTGTATCCCTATTTAGCAGTAGAGGAGGCAAATGAGTTGCAGGGAGAAAAGCAGGAATGGGGCTAGGACAGTCCCATGTTCCAGGGTGTGATGGTCCCTTCTTTCCCTATCCCAGCAGGAGCACAACCTCGTGTGGCCCAAAGAGGCACACAGGGGGGCCAAAGGGATGGGGAAAGAGGACTGCAGAGCCCAGGGGGGATGCACATACAGCACTCACTGCCAGAACAGCACAGCATGGAGCCAGTGCCCTGCCCCAGGGACAAGAGCAGGTTTATGGCATGCCCCAGGCATGTTCCACTGACCTCCCCAAAGCACTCCCCAAGAGGGGCCTAACCCACAAAACCCGTGCCGGGGTCCGCTCGGCTCACCTGTGTCTCTCGCAGCAAATAGTTCCTGCTGGAAGATGAAATCTGGGAGAAGGAAAACAGCAAGTTACACCACAGCTTGTGTGCATCCCACAACATCTTACTGAGGGCACCAGCCTGTCCAACACAGGCAGCCCTGACCAAAGGGTGACACTGCTGAGATACAGGTGCTGAAAAGCCAAGAAAGGCTGAAATGGGTGGTCTAGCCTGGCGCAGTGCACAGTGCAGCAGGCTCAGGAAAGGGAGGGAGCTGCACAGTGCCATCAGTCAGTGACACTGGGAAGTGGTGACCCCTTCCCCCAGTCCCACATCACAGTGCAGCTGCAGCCACCCAGGCTAGGAGATGTACAGTGTGGAGACACCTCAGCAGGATACATGGAATTATTTATGAAAAGCGATGAGGATTACAGAGAGAATTACTGCCTTCATCCAAACCAAGATGCCTGTGGTTAATCACCCAAGGTAAGAGTAGAATGGACCTTAAAAAAAAAATCAATAGATGAGAAGTGCTGTATTGAGATGAAAGGGAATTTCCTGGAAAGAAAAGGAAAAGCAAAGGCACTGAGGGAGTTGGGCTGGACAGAAGAGCTTCCCACTGAACCTGCCTCTCCTACACTATCCAGGCCTCCAAAACATGCTGGGCCTTCACCAGCCTCACCTTGGCTTCTGGGGGCATTCCAACCCTGCCAGACCATCAAGGGCAGCCGCTACAGCAGCTCCTCCTGGTGCCTGGGGCAGGGGTTCAGCCCCATGGGCGCTGCTGCCAGGAAGCCAGCAGGAGCCAGTGAGTGTCCCCACAGCGGGAGCGCTCAGCAGTGTGGCTCTGGCTTGGGAGATGGCTCCAAATGCCTGGGAAGCCTGAATGCCTGAAGCTGATTTTGCTGAATGTATAGACGTGCCATTAACACGCACCTCTTCCAAACAGGGTCTGGCAGGCTTTGAGATCAGTTTGTCTGTTTTAAGTATTTGAAAAAAAATGCCCTTGTCTTTCATTTGTGGAGAGGGTAGGGGATGTCTGCCATCAGCAAATAGCCAAGTTGTTAATACAAGCACTTTCTAAAGAGATACAGGTGTAATTAAATGGAAATGTGGCTGCTGAGATGCTAAAGCCAGGGTCTGATGTAGCCATTTAGACAGCTTCTGCATTAGCAAGGATACAGCTGCGATAGTGGTGGAGCTCCTCTTACAGGTGCAAGGAAAAGAAGAGGATGAGGGACAAAGAAATACCTTTCTACCATTATCCTCTAAGCATGTCTGTGAAGACAAAAGGATTTTAAAAGAAAGCAATGCCCTTTGGTAGATGCTACATGCCAGATACGGATGGGGTGAGGAAGCTGGTGCACTGCTCAGGCTTGGAGCTTTGCACCCAGCTCCAAGCACAAGGGATGTATCAAGGGAGAGGGAAAGAGGTTTCTGCTGCCATCCTTCCTGGGCACCCAGCCAGGGATGTGAGAAGAGGTGATAAGTGTATAAAATGGCTTAGAAATATATAATCATGGCAGTTTGGGGGTTGGTTTCAGTACAATTGAAATGAGTTTTAATTTCTTCACTTTGGTGAGATGGGGAGATTTAACTGTCATTCTTGTAACAGCTAATCAAACTGATCAGACAAGCTAGCAATCATACAGACATCTACCCCAGCTCTTCCAAGAAGAATTTGAAAGTCTTGAAAAGAAACCTTTCCATCGTCTCTGCTAAAATGTGGGTTTCAGTTTTCTCACTTTTGTTCATGAACTGGCATCCTCTTCTAAGCGTGTCTAATTAATTATCAACCTTGACAGAGGCTTGTGTTCGCAGTTACCCAAAGTAAGAAAAGTCCATCTCAACCCTGAACTGTTGTGTACGTGTCCCAAGACCGGGAGGAAAGGCTGCGGCAGCCCCACAGGCGAGCCTTTGGATGCCACCCAGAGGTCGCGCTGCAAACTGGTGAGAGGAGGCACAGGCAACTGCCGCCTCAGGGCGGAGGCTCAAACGCTGAGCACTTAAGCACAACAAGCCTTCACCTAAAAGCAAGAAAATAAAGCAATCCCCTGTTTGAGGGAAGGAGGAGGACTGAAAATGCTTGAAGGTGTGAAGAAAACATACACCACAGACAGAGCAACACGTGTGAGCTGGGAGCTGTGGACGCTGCTCACCCTTGCCTCAGATCCCCTGGCTATTCTCTGCTGTACCCCAGCCCACCGGGCATCCCTTCTCTCTCCATCTTCTACTCTCCTTTCCCCTGTCTCACTTTTCTGCCCCGACACCCTCTCTGAGCTCACTGGGACCGCTCAGCACTGCCTTTGCCTTCCCGCACAGAGGAGGCAGCTCACTCTGGAGCTGGGAGGAGGCCAAGGATGCTACAAATTCGGTAGGTCTGTGCAGCTGACCAAGCCATGCATCATGCCTGAATGGGCACTAGGGATAGATCTCTGCCTCTGAGATGGAGAGCATCCAGGCTGTGTGGGAAGGGCCTGGGTGGGGGCACAGCCCTCAGGCAGTCACACCTCTGTCTGCATCCCCATCATGTGTCCAAAGATGGAGAGAGCACACAGGAGAGCTGTGGAGCTGCACCAAACTCAGCAGTGTGACACCATCTCCACCCTCATGCCAGCCACATCACTGTTCCCAGTGCTGTGACACCAGACACCAAGGGACCTCTCCAGGACTCGGTATCTCCCCACTAAATGCCTTGCCTGTGTACTAGAGTGCCCAGTGCTTGCTTCCTGCACTTCCAGGAGTGCATTTCTTCTCTCCCTCCCCTCAAAGCCTGCATCCTACATCACCCTCTCTGTCTCCATTCCCTTTTTCACCCTACTTTCATGATGACACCACAGACAGGGAGGAGACAAAGCTGAGAGAACACTTCAGAAGGGCTCCTAGGGCTGACACCCTTACCTGTGACACCAGTTGGCTTTTCAGCCTGCACACAACCATTCTTTCTCAGTGGGTGCTCTCTCACACCTGCTTGCACCAGCCAGATACAGCGAATTCCCTCAGACTTCTGGCAGTGATTTACAGCTGGTTTTCTCCTCTCCATCGAAGCTGTTGGGAGATTCCAACTCCTTACTGATAGCATCCTCCAGTCCAAGAGTTTCTGTGGCTGCTGCAGTGGTCACCAATACCTTTCCCTTCCCACACAGCCACAGATCCAAGCAGAGAAAATTGTCATTTGGGTGGGGTCCAACTACTGTGGGCAGTGGGCACAGCAGGGTTTCCACTGCTGCCAGCAATCATGGGTGTGACCACTCTTGTGTGAGAATTCAACTCCAGAGTAAGAGCAAAGCCCGTGCTCTGTCACAGGGTGACACCCGAGACCACAGCAGAAGACTCCTGCTATTTCCTTGCTCCACCTCATGTGCCTTACCAGCAAGCCTTCCCAGCCTGTCAGCTCCTACCAACTGCCTCCAGCCTCTTGCCAGGTAGCAGAGGGGAAAGCCCTGTCATGGACAGGGTGACCATCCTGAGACCAAGGATCTGCAGTAGCTGGATGCTGGTGTTCCATCAGCTGCAGTTCGTGACTGAGCCCCTGCTGAGCACTCAGCTCACGTGGGATGGAGGCTTTAGTTCCCTCCCGCCCCTGCTGCTCCTTATGTGGAAGAAGCTGGCCACCCTCTGCACCAGCACAGCCAAGGCAATGGGAGAGGTTGGTATTTACACACACCCGTGTGATGGATGAGCTCCTGGAGCAAGCAGCCCTCCTGCCCCAGGGTTCCCCACACCTTCTCTCTGTACTGCACAGCCTCCCTCTGCTCCACGGCCCCTGTCCCACATGTCATCACCAGTCATCTCCTTTTCCTGTCATTTCCTCTCCTCTCCCCATCCCAGCACCGTCCTCAGGGCTGGGGATACCCATGGAGCAGGTGCAAGTGGGGGCAAAGCTATGTCTGGTCCACATGTGGCTGAAGTGACATTCTGCCTCTGGGAATGAACAGAGCTCTGCAAGGAACCCCAGCATAAAGCGAGCTCCATGCTCACACACCAGCCTGGGGAGGAAGATGTTCACAGGGGAAGGAGAGGAATCAGAGAAAGACGTGTTTTAGCGGACACCTATGAGCACGAGCTGCTCCCAGGGGAAATGAGCTTTAGCCCTGCATGGGTTTGGAGCCACAGCACAACTGAAAGGGACCTCGAGCCCAGGGACAGGATGGAGGGGCTGTGGCTGTCAGCTCCTGGCTGAACGGATCCTGTGGGGCTCTGGGTGCTGCCTGCCTCCAGCAGAGAGGGAAGGTGGCCCCCTCCACCACAGGCACATTCCAGGAGAAGGCACACATCACCTCCTGCTCTGTCTGGGTGCCAAAGACTAGGCCTGGGCACATCACATTTGCTGTCACATTTGGAAAGAGCCAAACCAGACCTACTGCCAGCCCCCTGCTTGTCTTGGCCTTCCCAAAAGTGCAGAGAGGGTAAAAGTCTTAAGGGGATTAATCCTGTCAGGTCAAACTGCTGATGTGATGTGGGGCTGGGCAGTCTGTGCAGCCACCACCACGAGCAGGAGAGGAGAGGAGAGGAGAGGAGAGGAGAGGGAAAAAAGAAGGAACAGAAGACGCTAGACATTTATGGCTCACACTCACAAAGGGAAGGTATCCTTAGGGTAGGGTGGCAGTTTGTGGCGCTAATTGCATTATCTAATAGCTGTTAATTAGTTCCTGAATCATGGCACCACTTTACAGCTAGTGAAGGGTTGTTCTGGTTGACAGATTCACACCCCTCAGAGTGTGAAAACAGAATTCCTAGATACTGGGAACAGGCACCTTAGAAATACAACATACGAGAGAAGATGGAGGGCAGGCCCTGTGTCTGGCAGGGGGAGGGTTGGTGTTGGTTTGTTTCCAAGCCTCTGCGTTGGAATGATGAAGGCAATAAACAACCAGAAAAACAGAAAGGAGATGAGGGGCCAGCAGGATCTGTTGCATTAAAATGGCAGGGCTCCTCCTGCCCTCCAAGCTCCAGCTGGTAGCTGTGCTTTCTCCCCTCTGGTCAATAGATCCCTGTTGAAGTCCTTATCCTGCTCCAGAGATCTGAGCCATTGTGGAACAGGAATTGTTTCTTGTCAGTAACATATG